ACACTGAAGCTGTTTTGTTGTTGCTCCACATCGCACTGATTCCTAACATTAAAAAAAAGGAACCAATGATTTAAAAATAATACAGCTTGCCTTTAAGTCAGCTTGCCTTTAAGTCAGCTTGCCTTTAAGTCAGCTTGCCTTTAAGTCAGCTTGCCTTTAAGTCAGCTTGTAGCGTTCTTCCTCTCCTCATTGGTGAATAAAACGATGAAAAAAAGAGAGAGAGAGGAGCTCTGAGAGCTGCTGCGACTAACTAGCACTAGTTCAACTGGCAGTTAGTGGTCACCAACCCTTGTAAAACCCTCCAAGAGTCTTTAAAACAAACAATTATTAGTACTGGCAATATTAGTACAATTAGAAAATATACGATATCCAAATCCTTTGTGTGCGTTGTTACACTTCGATGCTGGCTGGTAGAAAAACAACGAGCTGATGGCAGACGACGCGTCCGTTCAGCCTCCAAGGAGACAAACATCATCCCGTCCCGATGAGACGGATGACAGCTGATCAATGACCTAACTCGTCCTCGCCTGGTGCTCACACGGACTCTCAAGTCCTGCTGGAGGCGTTTCAGGAACGTAAATCAGCAGTCGCGTTGTATTAAAAACAAACAACCAAAAAAAACCACCATCTTGTTGCAGAGCACCTTTTCTCCACCACAGGGGGGCGCTGTCCTGTAACTGCAGGGAAACAAACCACAGTCAACTCGGAGTTTCACGCTCTTTGTCTCATCAGAGTTCAGAGGGAGGGCGGTCAGCGGCAGACCGACAGGCGCCTCACGGTGCACAGGTCACACAGCAGCCGTTTGATTCGCTGTTTGAGCTGCGGGAGGCGGGACAGAGGGTCAGGAGGCTCGAGCTCGCCGGAGTGGTCCAACCAGGACTCTAGAACTGAAGACAAAGAAGAAGAGCGAGTTTTACGACCAGCAGCGAGCACATGTGGACACAAACTAACACCGAGGTGTAACTTAGGAGCACAGCATGACTCTGACGCTTCATCACGTCCAACCCAGCGTTGCTGTATCACGCTCAGGCACACGCGCCACTCTGTCAGTCACACAAGATACATGATGTACAACAGTGAAGCGAGACCTCTCTAATCCCAATTCAATTAAAATGAAGGCCAAACATGCAATGAAGATGCGATAGAGTAGAGCAGCAGGCAGGAACACGGCGATCAGGAGGATGTGTGCATGAGCTTCACACGACCCCTCCAAGTGAAGCGACGCAAAAAACCGAACCTTCTCTCTTCCTTCCTCCCACGCCTCAGTAATTATTCTCCTCCAGCTAGAACGGCTCTAACTCGTGGTGGATAATTACTTACTTGCTTCTTTCTCTCTGCTTTCGTAACCAGACGAAGCCACCGTGACTATTTGAATAACACTGAATGATTAATGTGGAGTGTCGTGTGCAACTCTGTATTTTACACTCAACGTGTGCGTTACCGTCCAGCTCTCTCTCGATCACGTCCATCCTGGCGCTGATCTGCTGGTGCAGGGACTCGATGTGCTCCAGCAGGTTCAGCTGACACTCGGCCACCGACGCCGCGCGAGGCTCCGCTGCGCACGTCCGAGTGTGCGCCTGCTCGCC